TCTATCGTGGCCAGATGTAGCCTGGTTTGCAGCATTTTGCCGCAGATTTCTCAGCAGGAAATTAAAGCAGCAGCAGCAGAAGCAGCAGCTTTGCCTCGGGCTGAATTCCACAAAGCTCTGATCCCAAACTAAAGGATGATCCGGGCCAGGCAGGCAGGCATGCGTGAAAACAGAGCCAGTCTGAAATCTCCGTCATTGCACGCTCTCTGGATTCAGATTTTAAAAATAATTATTCTGAAAAACAGATGTTTTGTTCACTAATAGGTTATAAACGTTGTTATCCAGATAAACTGGATTTAGGACGTGATTTCATCGTCTACACTCCTTAGATGCATCATAAAGAATCGCCTTTAATTGTTATTTCTGTTCAAATATTGGATTAGTTATTATTTATTGTAACAAAGTTGAAATATGTAATATTTCAAGTGGTACACTTCTGTGTGTTCCCAGAGCACACGCCTTCTTTATCAGACTGCTGCAGCTCGACTGGAAAGCCCGCAAGTGCGTCTCTTTATGGGACTTTTACTTTTCCCTTTCTCAACCCACAAAATCATTAAAAAAATAATAAACTGAACTGGCAGCAGCAGAAAATAAACGAGCACAACTATTCTATAAACTCTACTTAATTACTCTAATTAACGCCACAGTAATAATTCCTGGAAAGTCCCATTAAATGTCCTGACTCACCGTATCTGGGTGTCGGCTTGAAAGACCTCCGTGCCAGCGGCCCGACTCTCTGCCATGCCCGTCTGCAGAACATGATTGCTCGGGTATCAGCTGCAGCTAAGCGAGTTTTTCTCCGGCAGGTTTTACAGCGAAATGATGGGAAGCGCTCAGCTGCTGCTCACCAGTGCTGATGGGAACAGAGCACACCCCCATTCAAAAGCAGACAGCTCCACCAGCACGCCCCCTGCAGACGAGAATCTAACAGAACACAAATAGCAGGAACTGAAGCACCAAAGAATGAGCAGAGCTGTGATTTGTATTTTCTCCTGGTGTTTGGATCCTTCTGAGGCAGATGTTGACCTCCATATATCATATAATCCCCCTCTTCCTTCATTAAATCATTCTGCCCTCTCTCTCAGCTGTGACTGTGAGAAGGAGAGATCCCGCAGGCTGGTTTTAAGCGCATCACATTCTAGTTCAGTTGCATGACAACCTCAGCTCTGGTTGCGTAATGCGATCTCTGTCAGAGTGTGCACGGAGTGACAGAGTCAAGGACAAAAGACTGGCCTGTAGATCAGATCTGGACGTGAGACTTTATCAAAGTTTGACTTCTCCTAAATCTACTGACAGTAATCACTTATATGCAAGGTTTGTGTAACATCCCATAATATGTTCGGTTGTATTCATTTAGTACCACCTCACAAAAACAACAGGTGCTTTATATTCAAAGGTGTAAATCACAAAAACCACAATATTAAAGCGAAAAACTCATCAGTGTCCAGTTGATCCTCCATAAGCACTTGGCGATGGCGGGGAGGAAGAAGTCCCTTTTAGTAGGAAGCGACCTCCAGCAGAGGCAGATTCAGCAAGGCCATCTGCTGTGAGCAGTTAGGACGTGAAGGAAGACAGATGACATAAATACAAAACACTAAGCACAGAAGAGAGAAGACAAAAGTTAATGACATGGACTAATACAGTGGTTCTCAAAAAGTTTGACAAAACCTGAGGTAACTGATGTGCATAAGTACTCCGAACTTTCAAAAACAAATATATTTTTGATAATAAATAATAAATATTTCTTTCTGAGTTCAGCTGAAGTTGAATAAAATAAATTGCACCTCAATTTAATTCAAAATAAATACTAATTAATTACCACTGAATACTGTACAAGTAGTAAGTCCCCCCTTTTAAGGTTTATTTTTATTTATTTAATTATTTATATATAATGAACCACATTAGCTTGCACAATAGTGGTTGCTAGTGTTCCTGGAGCCCAAGACATCAAGTATAATATCTAATGAAACATTACACAAGAACGTAGATGCAAAAAAGTCCACATAATTTGGCTGTTCCATCCATTGTAAGGTTTTACATTTGTAAAAATATAAATGGACTAGTTCTTATATAGCGCTTTTCCACTCTTCTGAGCACTCAAAGCACTTTACACAACTTGTGCATTCACCCATTCGCACAAGCACAACTGACATTCACACACATTCATACTCCGATGAATGCATCGGAGAGCAATTTCGGGTTAGTATCTTGCGCAAGGATATTTGGCATGCAGACTAGGGGAAGCCGGGAATCGAACCACCAACCTTCCGATCGCTAAGTATGCATATATCAATTACATTGAAGCACAATACACACGAATCAAAAACAGGTCACAACTTTGCAATCATAAAATATTTACAATAATTAAAAACTTTGTAAAAAAGGCTTTTAATTTAAAAAAAAATAGGAATAGCTTATAGTTAATAGTACTTGGCCTTTTTGTGGCAATTACTTTGTATTATTTTTGTAAGTAAAATAAAATGATTGAATCTTTACAGTGTGCAGGGTCGCGGCAAAGCCTTAAACCTGTAGCTGAAGTGGAAATTTGAGATAAAGTGAGTAATTTTACTCTGAGATGCTTCCTGTTCAACCATCATACATTGCTGGTTAGGTCAGACCAAGAAGTGCCAAAATATTATCTCATTAAAGTCAGACTTAGCATTTTTCTGATATAATGGACATTGTGTTATAAGACTTAAAAAAGACAGGTTGTAGTAGGGCTTTAAACCGCAAAACATCAGACCCTACACTCGCTTCATACTGAGTTCCCAAGTCATTTTTTAGTCCCCAGTTTAAAACTCATTAAAAACTGTTCAAAGTTTACATGCTCCAAGCTAAACCCCCACTATGAAATTATCAGGAGGCCTTTCCTCTCTTGAACCACCTGCAGGAGCTTCATAGAGCTTCTTTTGGTAAGTTTACAGGTGCAGTAAACGTACAAAAACAGCAATTAAGATTTTACTTAAAAATCTCAGAGTAAGGAAAGCAGCCTCTCCTCCTCTGGTTCCACTCTTCCCTGCATTCAGAGAGACACGCCTACTACTGAGCTGTTGAATGTTGCACAGCTGTGATACTTTCGTGTGTGCACACGTCCTTAAACACCAGACGCTGGCTGTTGTTTGGCTGTAGGATCTGCAGAAGTCTGGCCGTTCGACTTTAATCATGTGACAAGCTCTGAATCATCGATTAGACAAAGTCGTGAAACCACATGTGATGCACTTTTCCAACGCCCACATCACGCACAAGACCCGAGCATGACTGCTGCCGAGTCCGCGGGCAGCCAGGATGAGATGGTGATGCATCAAAACAGCACCAGCTCATATTACACACTTAGTGAATCACATAAGTGTTAAATATGTTTTATCCTCCAGAGAAAAGGACCAGCTCACCACAAGATTACATTTAAGAAGTTTTACCCCAGAACCTCTAACTAATCTAATCTATCAGAAAAGAGCCGTTTAGATAAAACAATAAAAATTTATTTGACCTTTCTGTGATAAAGAAGTATATTCTGAAAACATTTAATGAAGCATCTGTTTATAAACAGCCTGAAATGTCTTGAGAAAAATATGTATTATTTTCCACATTCAGTGAGTCTGTACATGTTTACCACAAATCAGATTCAGAGGAAAGGCAAAAACCGCCACGTTTAATGTCTTTGTTTTTCCAGTAAAGTGTCCAAATGCTTTCACGCCTCCTTCTTCTCATCTCATTGGAACTATTTGAGTAAATTTTAACTGAGTAAATTTCACTCTGTGACCCTTGGATGGGCTGCATGTTTGACACGCCTGGCACAGGATGATTTGACTCAAAGTTTTTAAGCACTGGAGAAATCAGAAGCAGAGATGTTTGCTTTCTTTTGAATGTTATTGAACCAAATGACACGGTGACTCATTATGGTAGATGGAGGCACAGTGCCAGGGTTGGTGGGTGTGACAGTAGGAAGAAAAGACGTTGCACAATATCACACTAAGAGTCAGTTTTTCCAAAAGCCTGGAGTTATATTTTGGTGCCATCACATCCCAGAGACGGCTCACATCTTTGCAGCTGACATTTCCAAAACGAGGAAACTCACAGAAAGAGCATCCAGACCAGCGGTGTCAAACTTACAGCCCAGTTTGGCCACTGAAACCACAGTACTGCCTCAAATAACCACACCTGCACCGCTCCTTGGGTTTACACTTTGAGTAATAAATACACAAAAGCTCATTACCTGGACTTGGTCATATAATTAAAACCTGAATTCTTTTTTAATTTACAGAAAATTTCTTATGGACCCACTTTAAAAAAGAAAAAGAACGAAATTCTGTGGTGAACAAGGAACAGATTTAATAGTTAATCTTTTGCTTACTTTGGTGTACTACACTAGGCTGTTAGACCATCAAGAATACAAGTAAAAATCAAAAACTGTTGACCTCCTGCTTTGCAATTTTCACATTTTCTTGACTGGACCCTTTGACTGGCTGGTTCTTGGTTTACATCCCTGATTGATACGGATAAAGAGCTCATTCTCAGATCTATGTACCTTGCTTTAATGCATCCAGTCATATTGGACATGTTGGATCTGTGGTATCAGTTCCTGGGTGCACATTCAGTCTGAGTCAGTGAATAACAGCAGCTGAGGAAGCTGTAAGTTTAATGTGACTCGTGCCAGGTAGGAGTTTAGCATTTGGAGTCGAGTGCGCTGCTGAGTTACAGGGTTTTCTGTTAAATTCTGTGAAAGTTGAGCTGCTCATAGACGATTGCATTACGTTGTATTTATGTGTGAGAAGCAATCGCCTGACACTTTCTAAATCCACAGTAATGGCTCAAAATTTTCATGACTATTTACTCCATGTTGGTAAATCGCAGCCCTGTTTCTGAGCTGTTATTTTACATGAATTAAACGTGATGTGGGAAAGCAGACCATTATAGTTCGCGATCTGTCACACGTGTATCAGAGTTCCTGATAAATTATCTCTCTAGCTTTAAATCAACTTGCAGAGTGGGCACAATGTCACAACAATGTGTGAATATCATGCATTTTTATTATTTTATTCATCGTAAAAACAGAAATAAAACACCTTTTTATAGAGTCCTCATCCTGCCGTGGTTTGCATATTTGTGCATACGTCACAGATGGAGATTACACACCTGTGCTTCCTCACTCATAGCAGCTCCTGCAAAGCCTCCTCTCTCCTCGAGACGCACTGTAGGCACTGAGATACAAGAAGGAAAGAGGAGACAAGGAGGCACAAAACAGGGAAATGAGAAAACCCTGAGCTCAGCCAGTGAGACCACGCACGCTGAAAACAAACAGCGTCACTGCATCGAAAGCTCACTTGCATGTTTACATTCACAGTATTTTATTTTGCAGCTTTTATAAACACTGAGATCACAAATATACACTAAATTTCTGAGTGGCACGTTTTGCATTTTTAAGAGTTTAAATATTAAAGTTCTGTGTGAGAGTGACTGGACTGGATTGGCATGTCCTCGTCCTCCTCGCTCTCAGCAGCAGGTCATCGGCTCCTTCTCGGCCTTCTTGTTAGTGAGTTTAAAGGAGCCGCTGTACGCCAGGGAATTCGCTGTCAGGAGTTTCTTCTGTCTCTTCAGCTTGAGGCTAACAGCGGTGACGATGTCCTCCACATTATCCTGCTGATACAGTGCCTGCCTGCTACCTTGTTGTCCACTTGTGCCTTTCTTTGGAGGATCCTTGGCAGATGTCTCAAAGAAGATCATGCCGTGGGCTTTGGAAAAGCTCATTGCCCGCTCCTGGCTCACCTGGCTGTCAGTCTTTTTGGGGTCACGGAGGTCGCTCTTATTCCCCACCAGGAATCTGAGAGGAGACGAGGAAATGAAAGGTCACAAAGAGTCTGGTCCAAGTTAAACAAACACTTTTGCACACAGAGAAGTGATGCAGGTACCTGGGTATGTCCTGGCCGAGGGAGTGCTGCCGGCATTCTTCTACCCAGGAAGTCAGGCTGCTAAAGCTGGCAGGAGAGGTGACATCATAAATGAAGAGCACCGCGTGGACGTTACGGTAGTAGTGTTGCACCATGGATTTACGAAAGCGCTCCTGTCCGGCTGTGTCCCACAGCTGGAGCTGATGGTGAGGAGGGGAAGTAAGAAAGGAAAGAAAGTGAGAGGTTGATTCTTCATGAAGGCTGGTGCTGGCACAAGCACGAGGAAAAGGACGGAAGGAACAGTGAGGAAGTGTTGATATTCGTTAAACTCAGTGACATGCACAGAGACATGAGTCATTTCTGAGAGGGAACCAAAAAAAAGGAATAAACAAGCCGATCCTGTTTTTTTTTTTTAAACCAACGATTTCTCTTCAAGGCTTTGTCAACGTTTTTTCAAAGTTTCAAAACAGACCCCCCCGACCCCTCAGAAATACAGTCCTCATGTCTGCAGAAAAGACATTAAAAATAGCTACATTAATGCAAAAATAGGGAAGAAACTTGACAGAGGGGCACGCAGACCAGGAGACATGGCACCCAAGAACAATCCTGAACAGAAATCTGTGGAGGAGCTCTGAAATGCCAAAGTTGGTGGCCTTGGCCTTTAAAAGCCAATCAACAGCTGAAGCAGGAAATGCATTAGCCAATCATCCCATTGCACTGCACGCCTCTACATGTGATCTTAGTAAAGATGGTGGTGAGTTTATTAATGTAACTTATTGGATGCGCAGCTCTTCGAGAGTTTTAAACCGGAAACAAAACATGCTGTTTGTTCGGTTCTCCTGTGGGATGCAGCCATAACGGTGCAAACCTGTGTGCATGTGTTGTCTTCCCATTCAGTCATTTAGGGGCTTCAAATAACTGTCTGGATTCGGACCAAGATGGCGGCTGAGCTGCAAAAGGATAAAACCAAACAGGTCCCAAAGGTTAGACGTGGCCTGTGGACCAGACCTTCTCAATCTGGCTACAGTCAATATATTCTTGCCCACACCTATAACCGATAAGGAGTGGTTAGTGACACTCTGAGGAGTGCTGGTTTTCTCTTAGAGACAGGGTGAGGAGCTCAGTTTCTACAGGGGCGCCTCCAGATGCCTCCCAACTGCTACACGAGATATTTCAGGCATGTCGAACTGGAGGAGATCCAGGATGCGATAGAGAGATTCTGCTTCTTAGATTGCTCAAAAGCACGTCAGGGTCTACCTAGAGGAGCGGAAGGAGGTGAACGAGTTCTGGACATCTCTGCTTAAACTCCTGCCGCAAAGACCTGGACCCAGTGACATGAAAGTAGATGGATGCTTCATCAGCAACCTAAGCAGTGGTGCATATCAGACTTTAGACCTGATGTATGCCAAATTACATTTTGAGTTCAGTGATATTTTTATCTTCTAATCTTTTTTGATTCAGTTGTCAGCACATTAGCCTCAGTCAGTGAGTCAGTTTGGGGTGAGGACTCTGGCCACTCCTGATCCCCTTAAACAGAAGCAAGCATCCCAGTAACAATACTGTTGGATCAAATCAGCATTAGCAGGTGGCGTTAAAGCATATTCTTATAAACTATATGAAAGTGTTTACTTCCTGAAACTTTTTGATAAATATTTGACTTGATGTGTCAAAATCATATCTGAGTTTTTCTAGTGACCCACTGATATTGTGAATGTGAGGAATATATGTTGGCATCCTGTGTGGATATATGCTTTCTAACGCTACAGCACAATTTTAATATTTCTAAAAAATTATTTTGCAGAAACTTTGACACCACTTTGGAAGCCTCTCGTGTACAGAAGTTCAGTATTTTAGGTAATTAGATCTATGCTCTGAAACTCCAAAGGCAACATTTAAAATATGCTTACTACCCACACCACCAGGATCTAGTCTTTACTTGTTACCATAGAGCTGGGAGTCTGAACAGACCTGCTTGAGGCAGGACCTGAAGTAACTGCCTCTAAAGCGCTGAAACACTTCTGAATTATTTTGGAGCCGCTTATAGAAACATTACTAAAACATAAATGATTCATCCTGATTATCTGGTTTTCATTATCACTGAATTTCAGTTCAATTGAATCTTAGGAGTCGCCACCCGCTGGTCATTAGAAAGAATGTCCATTTTACGGTTTGACTGCACTGGATGGACCTAGAAAACTTCAGTCGACTGACTTGATCACGAACTTACGGTTTAAGATCCTGGGCTGTTGTTAAACTGTGTCAGACATTGGTAACTAAATGCACCGCTAAGCAAAAGGGAAAAAATAACCTAAGGTTACAAATCCTGTGTCACCACTCAGACACACTTCCTCTATCATGTGGTCATTTCAAAAGACCAACTGAGACTCACATTTTTAGTTAATACCGGATTCGATTTTCATTTCAACAAAACAAACAAACTTTCTTCACATCCTAACTACAGCCTAAAAATCTAATGTGTGTTTTTGTGGCTGTGGAAGCTCGCAGTGGCTGCTGATTTTCTGCCATCCAGAGAATTTTTCAGTTGTTCAGTCTGGGACAAATAAGCGTGTATGCAGCAGAGCCACACTGCAGTGTAGACACTTAATTAACAGCGATCCTGAGAACATCAGGACAGAGGAGATAAAAACGTTTTAACAACACACGAGGAATCGAAGCCCGGCTCACACGTGCTTATCTGTTTTTCCTTTTATCATGAGGGTAATTTGAAAAACAAACAAACAAATGAACTCACAGAAATTATTTCCAAAACTTCAACAAACCAAAAGTTACTTAATAGTTTGGGGATTTACAAAATAAGAGTTTTAGCTATGCGTAAAAGTTGTCGTTCAGAACCCTTATTAGGGCAAATATCTCCAGCTGGGTTCATTAATGCTAGCTTTTTAGTGGTGGATGATAATCACCAGTTACCTTAATTTTCTCTCCATCGATTTCAAGCACTCTTTCGCGGAAGTCCACGCCGATGGTAGCCTCCGATCTGCAGGGAAACTCCCCGGCGCACAGTCGGTGGGTGAGGCAGGTTTTACCCACCCCGGAGTCTCCAATCACAAGCACCTTAAATGTTCGACAGCGGGTTAGCAGTGAGGAAACACTACCCAAAGAACTGGAAAACTCAAGAGACGAATCCATGTAGCCAGAGTCCTTCAAGGTAATAACAAAGCGCAAAAAATGCGCACTTGGCTTCAAACGGCGTCTCCAAAGATGCAGCCTCCCCTGACCAAAACTTCTGCAAACACAAAATCTTCTGCTGGTTTCGAAAACCTTTCCAGCAACTCCGTGCAGACTATTCACAGTGCTGCCCAGCGTGGGTGTGAGGAGGAGGACCCGGCGTTTCACTGTGGTGATGAGGGTGGAGAATCCAGGGTCTCAGCTTCCTGGCACATTAACGTGATTGGCTGATTTTAGTTCCTTTCCCTTTTAAGTGTTTTTAATCCACAACAGCGCGAGACATGGTGGTACCTTCTCCTAGAAATAACAGGTCATCTTTTTTGGGGGGGTCAGAACATAAAGACGCGCACGTTCACTGCAGCTGACCTCTTCAACACGATATTGCCCCCTCCTGGTGGGGACGCCAAGTGATTCCGCATCCTGCTTCCCACTCATATATCAAGTTTGGTGGTTCCCTTTAATGCTCTGTTTCTTCTTTTCTGCTTAATTATACTTTATATTGTACATGATGATTTGGTCAGCATGAACCGTGGTGCCACCTGAGTGCAGAGGTGAAGCCTCACTCTGTGACAGGAGACGGCTACATTTTAAAAACTACTAGATTTTATAGGAATTTTAGGATAGCAGAGGAAAAACAAACACTGGTTAATGAGAATCACAGGTTTCCTGGTTGTAACTGACAAGGGCACAAACATTACAACTTTATTAAAATCACAGCTTTAAGTTAAATTGGTGCTTTGGAAGTTTTCAGTGCCAACGTGATGGATTAGAGAGAAGGTCTACTTTTGTGTTTTGGGGAAAAAAAGGTGTTTTCAAAGGACTTTTTCTGGTAGCATCCACACCAGGTTTTCACTCATAAATAACCAAAAACTGCATGCTTAGATTAACAATCAAACATGATTTAAAAAAAATAAAATAAATAATACTGATTTTTTTTCCTCCCCTAAAATAAGGTTTTCAGCTCTTAGTAACCAGATAAACTTTTACCATCATCTTTATTGTTACAGTAGGAGCACTGCCATCGCACACCAAGAGGATCTCAGGTTCAGGTTTTCAATGTTCTCTGTGTGCTCATGAAGGATACTAGGCTATTTGGTGATTTTAAATTAACGTTCTCTCTGTACTGGCCTGCGCCGCCTGCCCTCTGACAGTTGGAGTGGGTTCCACTGACCCTGAACTTCACAAGCGGTTTCAAAATAAAACATTTTAGACTACCCAAGCAAGGGAAGTCACCAGCGTGGCTATAAAATGATTTATCCCGTTTTGTTAGGCAGGATTTGCTGAAAATAAGTGAATGCACAAATTTCTGTCAAATACAGGGGCAAAGCCTTTAAAGCACACAGTGTGATCATGCCTGTGTGAGCAGGGAAAGGCTCCAATATAAAGTACCAGGACCTAATTCTGGGATTTTCCCTACAACACGTAAGCAGTGATCAGCACAGAGAGGAAGTATAAAAGTCTGTTATCTGACAGAAGTCTGTGCGTTGTTCTGTTATTTTTGGCCATTTGATAAAGAAGTACTTTAAACTCAGTAACTTAAAACCAGCTTTTAAAAAATAAGAACTGGTCAAACTGTGTTTTTTTAAACCACAGTCCTGGTGAATTTCATTTGGTACGAGGCCAAACCTGGTTGGTTAAAGTGCAGGAAAAACCCTGCACCTTCCTACTTCGTGACAGGTACGAAATCACCTTTGTTACCACTGAACTGTCTCTAAATAAAGAGGTAGTGCTGACACAAAAGGGAAACCCCTGGTGTTGGATAATCAAGCCAACACAGCAGTAACAACAACTGCAGTTTTTCTAAAGGCCACATGAGTCCACACAGACTTCTTCACGGTTGAGTTTGTGCTTGAATTTTCTGTGAATGAAATGTTTATATTGTATTCGTCCATTATTCTGTCTAAGGTAGAGACTGAGATGCCCTGTCCTTTCTCATAAAGGCTGCTGCATTAAGATCACCGACAGGAAACTCTTCCTACTCTGATTTGAAATGTTCCCACTCGTCTTTTTTCATCATTATTGGGATTTTTAACACTTGACACTATGAAGCACCATTTGAAAAATCGTGAAAGCCATTTCATTTTATTTTATTGGTGAAACAGTCCTCCTGAAATAATCACACAGAACAAAATTTTTGCAGGCGTGTGGATTTTCCTCCAGCTCACACAAAACAGGTGCTGCACATTCTTGACGTTTGGTTACTAAGCCCGCGTCGGTGTCAGAGGGCTTCGTAACCCACTTCCACTCAAGGTTAGTTTGTTTGAAACAGCAGGTAAAACCTGGTCCTCGCGAAAGCTTTACCTAACCCCTGCAAAGAAAACACGGGCAGCTCAGGGAGGCTAACAAGCATTTTTTTCCTGTTGGTTTTAATACAAAAATCCAGAGATATCATACATCACCATCTCAGATTTCATCTTTCACATTAGAACCAAAATCAGAGGAAGAAGGGGAAGAAAAACAAGATGTGGGGGTGGTACAGAAGAAGTAAAACAGCTTCCAGATGTTTGTACGTTTACTCGCCTTTGTTCGTGTCTTATCATTTTGGCAAAGGGGGGGGGCAGTGGATGTTGACTTCAGACTTTCAAAGTTAGCAGAGAAGAAGATCCCTCTGAAAGCACTACAGGCTCATAAACGCCTTCACCGAAAGAGTCTCTGTACATCATGCAGATAAAACCATTTCTAAAGAGCAACAACACAAGTGACTCTGCCTCGTCTGGAAAGCACCCGGGGCCAAACTCCTGTTACTAAATGTGCTGCATAAATAAAAGTGACCGCCCGGAGGCTCCGTGTAACCGCTTCAACCAGATCCTGAAATGATTATCATCGGTAAGAGTGTCTGTGGTATTGCTTAGGTCTATCCATCTCTCTCAGAGCTATATAGAAAAGTTAAGAGTAGCTGTGTAGTTGAAACAGAACGCATCACACAATCTTTACAGTTTTTATTCTGTGCTACGAGGTGCTCCACGAGGACAGAGGGTTACGTGTTCCCATGTTGGACCTGGAACTGCGAGGGAAGCACTTTTTTAGGGGGGGGGGAAGCTGTTCGACGTGCGAGGCGGCTTTCTCTGGCGTTTTACTTGAGTGAGCGTCACAGCAGATACAGAAACACCTGTGGTCGTCCTCAGTGTCCGTTTCAGGTAACTCTTCCCGCTCGGCTTCCTGCGGACATGTCAGAGATCAGATCCGCTCCGCTCAGTCCCCCCCATCCCCCGCCCCTCACCGACAGCCGTGTCCCATATTCATTTAGATTAGCTTTTATTTTAAAATAAGAGGAGCAGAGTATGCAACGTGTTGGGAGTCACGCCCGAGTGGTTGGCGTTATTGTTATTAATCAGAGGAAAACCAGCGCTCAGTTTCTCCCGATTCTTTATTTTCATGTTCAGCATTGCCAGCTCTGTTTTAAAAAAGTAAAATGGACACTTATCTTCTTCTTCCCCTCCCTCCTCCTTCTGTTTCCAACAAATACACAACCGCACACATGCACGCACACAAACACGCCCTCCACACACACACGCACGCACGCACGCACGCACACACAGAGTCCTGATTTTCACCCATGTGGGAGAGAGCCGAGCCGAGCCAGGTCAGAGCTGAGCTGAGCCTGAGGACGAAACACCCATTTTTCGCTTCCTGTGTCCGGCTCTACAAAAATGGCTGCCACAGGCGTACCACAAGGCTCCGTGCTCGGCCCAGTTCCTTTTCTCATCCGCTGCTGTACCGCCGTGCTCACATCTCGTTGGCTAGCTCCTCCGTTTCCGTGGAAACGTCTCCGTTGGCAATCTTGGTGTTCTCCTCGTATCCGGGGGGCATGAAAGCTAACGTGTAGGGATAAAGCTTGTGGCACTCGGCGCGGTACGACTCTGCGTGCTCCTTACAGTCGCCCAGGGCGCCGCTGCGAAGACAGTCGAGGACCTCCGTGCAGATCTGAAGACGAGAGGACAAAGGTTAAAAGAAGCTACGTTCAGGCAGGGAGGAGTGGACAGTTTATCACAGTCACAATCCCAACTCAAAAGGAACTGCTGTACTTCCTGATGTTATTGGTTACCACAGTTTTTGTCGCAACTTCTCGATTGCGGTCGGTCCTTTGACCAACTTTTTTAGGAAAACCTGTCTGGCTGGTTTCACTTCACTGAAGAAACTCCTTTGTTCTGCTCCAGCCCTTTTTCAGGTTGATCCAAGAGAGATGGATACTCTCAGCATCTGAGCCATGAGGACCTGATAGACTAACTTTTATTCCACTTTTGATATTTGCACAACAGCAAAGACTCCAGTGTGTGTTTAGCATAAGAATAGTCGTAACTGTTTCTTTGCTTCCCTCCCGTCTTCTTACATGATGCCAATACGTACCTGTATGGTTCTGTTGTTCAGGGACTCATCCAGTGCACCGGCCAGTTCTGCTGCTTTCGTTTGCATCGAGGAGTCCAGATACACCATCATCTTCGCAGCTACGGGCGGGAGAGAGAAGGTGAGTGAGAGAAAGTGTGTTTTTAATAACTCTACATTTTAAGATCAATCCATCGCAGAAATATTTCTGCAGCGTGAGGCTGGTCCACAAACCTTTAAAAGGCATGTTCCAGGGGTAAGTCTCTGTTTTGGGTTTCATGTTAGGACCGAGGTTGGAGTCGGGAGTTTAGTAAGGTGATTAATATTAAGGTAAGAGGCAAGGGCATGCATGATGTGAATCAGTGCCTTCACTAAGGAAGAACAGGTTGCCCAACGTCTGTGCTCATCTATCAGTCTTTAGGTGCAAAGTTTCCACAATGGGACCAATGAGACCAACGAGCAGCAACCCCCCCCCCCAAAACAAAAAAAACAAAAAACTGAAACCTGAAATGTCTGCTAGAGACCACCCGGCAGCTACAAAGCCCTGTGGACAGGGCTTGAAAAATTACATTTTAAGGGATCGTTGGGTGCAAAGATGAACTAAGAAGGGGGGAAAACAAACAAACGGAGTGACATTCAAGCAAAAAACATTTGCAACAATGGAAGAAACGGCCCCCAGGTCATGTCAAATAACCTTAAATGTTTTCATGAGTACTGCTCTTCAGTGTCAATTGAACTGTTGTTGCATTAAGTACCAAAGTATTAGAAGTGAGGGTCAAAGAGACTTACCAGCCAGTCTGTGTGGTATGGAGCTGGAGTGCTTGGTGAGGTAGGCCTGGTTGAAGCTCTTAGCGTTGCTGTCTCCGAACAGCCGGGTGATCTCCTGCTTCAGCACCGTCCTGACCACCTCTGGAAGCTCCTTGCTCTCTGAAACTGCAAAGAGGGAACAGAGAAAAAGGATTATGTAAGGATGAGGTGGAGGCAGAGGAACGAAGAAGAGCAACAGCATAGAGAGGCAATTAAAACCGAGCGCTTAGGAGCATGTGCTGGTAGTTAAATAATGAATCCTCTCATACCTCCTTTAAAGAAGCGTACGAGACACTGGTGCAGCCACGGATGGTCGGGGTCGATTGCCAAAGCTCTCTTCACTGACTGGAGCATCAGCAGGTATTTTTCTGAAAGGAGAACACAGTAAACGTGTGAGGCAGAAATGGGGACGAAGACGGTACTGGCGGAGTAAAAAACACATAACATGTGCGCGCCAACCTTTCCTGAAGTAGATCTCAAAGGCCAGTAGGTGGGTGTCAATCTTGTCTTTGACCAGGTGCTTGAGAGGCGTCAGGAACTTGATGGCTTCTTCCAGTGGATTTTCTACCTGTAAAAGCAAATGTGCAAAACAAAGTAAAACTCGAGTCCTAAAAACTGATAAACAGACCTTAATACTTCACGTATCGGCCACTGACCTTCACCAGCTTGTCAGGAATGAGCTCTTCTTTGGGCCCTCCGATCTCCTCGTCGTCATCCTCCTTCTTC